CATAAATTAAGTCTCAATAGAGATTTACTTCCTGTGGTATAATTAGCTTTTTTAAAAAAGATTGTTTGGGAGGTGGATGTGGATATAAAGAACGAGGGAGGAAGTAGCTAGAAAGTGAGTAATTGAAGGTTCATGAAGTGCTATAAATATCTTCATTTTCGTTCGTAAAACATTTTTTTTGGTGTAGCTAAAATACGCGGTGGATTGTAACCTTAAGGCGATTAACATTTTGAGCATTTCTGTGGCTCTTTTTAGCTTAAATGCTTTATCTTTTGTAAATAAACCTCAAAAATTTTGTAAGGACTTATGATGATATGAGAAGGATAATCTTCAGTAAGTCAGTTAGTGGATACTTTTTATAGATATCACTGAACACTGAGCAATGTAAGGACTAAGGCAATTAGGATTCAAATGTAGATATAGAACCTTGATGATGCTCTGTCAATTGATTTGTCTGCCCTTAGGGCTGTCAAGTAGACATAAAGAAGCTACAACGGTTTTTTTAAATTCATTCAGTTGGATAAGTTTATTAGCAAAGCAACACTAAGACTTTCCTTAAGCAACTTGATCCTCATTGCCTTTTGGGGTTATCTAAGCAATGGTTTAGGAGCTACAACTCTCTGAACTCAAATGACGTCATCAGGTAGTCATGTAAAGTCTGAAAAATCAAACTCTAGTGGGAATCGAACCAACATTCTCACAGAAATGAAGATAAAAGATCTTCAGTCTGTTGCCAAAACACTCAACCACATAAGCTCCTTGTTGCTTTAGCAAATTCTGCAACATACCGAATAGTCAATTGTACTCCACCATCACATCATTTAACGTCCTCATCAATGCTTGAAGGATACATTTCAATTTTAAATCTTTATTGTATACACCTGATAGGGGCTCACCAGAAAAACTGCGTACACAGCAGCAATTAATTCCCAACTTAAACTCAAGGCTCATTTTACTTTTGCACGCATAATCTCCCATCGGTAAACAACAACAAACGACACGGAAAACGACAGCAACAGCGGCAATAAAAATTTTTGATAAAAAAATAATAATATTAATATGATGCTGGGGACATTAGGAAGGACAGTCTTTTTCTCCCTCATTTCATTATCCAACCAATAGATAATGGCATGTCAAATGGAAGAGAATTTATGCTCACTGTTGGGGAAATGAATGACATATACAAGGAGGGACAAAAATTTTTTATTTCATTCTTTATGGCTTAAATTTCAAATATTTATGACCATCATTTACTGCTCATTTTTATTGCAATTCTTTTTCTGATTTTTTTCTTCTTCTGCTGCTGCTCGTCCTCACAATGTGAAGGGAAATTCTTTTTATTTCCATCATTCATCCTCTCGTTTTTCTCATGTAATTGAATGAAGTTTCAGTTTTATTCAATGTTCTCGAAAGTTTTTATCTGGTTATGAGCTTTTAAGCTGGATTATTGAGATGATTTTTGGGATTGATGGTACACTTTGGGTATCGAAAGATTGTAAGAAGTTGAGATTGAATAGGAACAAGTGTGTAGCCAAAGGGATGAAATATAAATTTAAGAAAGCATTAAACATGTCTGATGTTGCTTGTTGTGACTTGTCTATGCCCGTGTGCCATTCGAAAACAGTATGTGTGGGTCAATAAGGTACAAATGATTTTAAAAAGGATCGATTCATACTTCTGAGTTTCAAACCTAGTAACTTACTTACTTCGCTGATCGTACAGATCAATTGTGATCCATGGCCTCCATTAGATGACACTTGAAGCTGTGTCTATCGTTGGCTACCGTTTGGCAATTACCAATATCATATGCAATACTGTCTCTGTCAACAGCTTCTTTCTAAGAATTTTTGGGACGTCCGCGTAATCTTTTAACATCTTCAAAACCTTCTAAAAGACTTTATTAATGAGAACTAATTAGCCTAGCAAATTTGTTCTCTAAATTCATCGCCTTAACCACCAATAACCCCAAAATATCATCCAAACTTATTCATAGCATGCAATCCATAAAAGGAAACATATCAATATAGGGAATAGTCTATAACAATGTCTCATTCAGAGCACAACGAGTTGCTTACATTGTCGTTCCATCCTCAAAATGTTACAATTTTAAAAAATAATGTTCCATGTTTTCTTTACAGTTTGTTAAAGTTTGATAAAATAAACAATACAAAGTGTCAAGAATGAAGACAATCTGTAACATTGTGAACTCAACGACAATCCATTAATCTCTTCTGTTTGTTTAAATGTTCATGTTATTCAGATGAAGATGATGATGAAGATGTTTATGCAGTTTTAGTAAATTTAATATTTATTTTACTTTCCATTTTTTTGTTTTTTGAATGAATTTTGTTATGATTTAAGATAATTTCTTCCATTGTTCATAAATCTCTGCTTGTCTCATTATCAAGTACACAAAATCTCACTTGTTTTAATTAAGATGAAGAGAGACTTGTAGTTTGTTATGTAAGACTAAACAAAGACTTTGTTATGGATGTCCTTGAGGAAGTTTTTGTCAGACTTTATGACTGGATTTGAAGATTTTGGGGAATGAGATATGAGAAGCTGCTTTTTAAGTGCTTGAATTATGTCAGAATACAGAAACTTCAGTCTTTTGATTCTTTATTTAAATATTAAGTCTTAGCTACTTAATATGTTTTCAGAAAGGATCTCAACCAATGATTATGATCGTACTGCTGGTTCTTATCGATCTTTTCCAGATCATATAGAGTGTAGATCTCCTTATAACTGCTATATGTGTATACTAATGTACATAAAACAAGTCGGGTTTGATTGGAATCGAACCCACGACCTCAAAAGAAGCGATCTCTGACCACTCGATCAGAGATCCCTGCCACCCGCCCACCGAGGTACTTATCTCACTTCGGCTATCCGTCATACACACACAACTAGTTTCAGCGCGAGCCCTATGCTCTTCGAGCCACATCCACATATAGATGACTCCCAATGTTGCAGTAACCAACTCTATCACTTAGTAAACACGCAAACATAAAACTGACATCAATTCTTTACAAAGGAAGCATCCAACAAAGACTTCAAAGCATTATTATTAAGTTAATACATGAAATATTTTGATGATCTTAATGGAAGATTAGTTTTTTTAAAAAATATTTGACGATCTTAAAGAGATAATTTCAATGTCAATTGTAAATTTGAATTTAATTATAGGAAGACTTCTCGTTGTTTTGCAATTTTTAATTTTTATTGTTTTAAGATGGAATAATAGCTTGATGATGATTATTGGATTTCGAGTATGGTTAAATGAGATATTTTGTTTTAAATTGTTTAGAAATCTGTGGATTCGCACATGGTGCTGTTTATGATTTTGGTGATTGGTTTAATAGAGATTAAATGGTGGTTTAAGATCCTGTTTGAATGGCAAAAGATCAGGCGGACGTATTGCATTTGGTATTGGTGATTGGTAAACGGTAGCCAACGATAGACTCAGCTTTAGACGTCATCTAAAAGATGCCATGGATCACAATTGATCTGTACGACCAGCGAAGTAAGTAATTAAGATCCTTGTGGTTAATGACAGTGATGAGGTTAGGATATATATACAAAAGGAAGAAGAATCATCTGTGGACCTCATCCAACCTCTTCTCATCCACGTTTTAACATACCCCAAATATTTTTATTACATATTTTTTAAATCTATCAGAGTCAAAACAATTTTAAAATCATTAAAATGAAAATTGATGGCCACTCAATTGCCATTTTTGTGACATTTTTTTAACCCTCAGCATTTATGTCATTCAGGAAATGTTTTCGAATTCATTTAATCTCTTTTGTCCAAAACTATTCAATTTCAGTTTGCAAACTATTTCAAATAACAAAAAGAGCCATAAAACAAAATAATCCCAAGGCCATCGATTTGTTTTAATTTTTTTTTCGTAATTTTTATTCCATAAAATGTCAATAAAGATGCACTAAAAACCCAATTAAAAATGTTTGCTTCATCGAGGTTTTATGAAATTTCAGTTAAAATGGAAAATAATTTGCGAACAAAGAGCTTAATGGCTCGACAATAAAGTTAAAATATACTTTTTATAGCTTCAATGATGCAATTGCGAGTAATTTTGAATAGATTTAAATGAAATTAATTTTGATATGAAGATGAATAGAGTTAAGCAGTGGAATTTTGATGGTTAAAGATCATTTACTAGTGTAGATCAGGTCTCATTGGAGTTGATGTAAATAGTATGACTCCAATATTAAGATTACGGTTCGATTCCTATCAGAGTCAACTTACATTACTCAGGTTTGTATCCTTTTAAACAACATCTACTCTATAATGACATCAAACTACTCGAAAATTCACCAAACAAACTCAAAACCATCATCAAAAACCATTCAGTCATCTCAACATCATGCAAAACAATCCAAAAATGTTCAAAGATTCCACCAGAAATTGGCACATCATTGTTCAAAACCTCCTAATTCATCATCTTCCGTTTAATTCTCTTAAACGATCAAACAACGATCATTTTTATTAGATTCCATTTAAGATAGAAATAAAAATGTTGTTAAAGACAACAATCATAACAACATGAAGGAATAGTAATCGTGTCTTGTGGTTGGTTATTAAAAATGACAGATGCGATTGATAAATAGACAAATTCAGACAAAGACTTGTTAAAATCGTCCATTGTTCATCCGTGAAAAAATGCGCTAAATAGATTTGAGGAGGCAGTGGTGTAGTAAGGAGTTGTGGGCAAGGGTTATTTGAGTCATTGATGGAAGTTAACGTTGATTTAGAGGTTCGAATCCTGTTTGCAGGACTTAACAAATCAAAATTGGACAACATAATCTATAGAGACTCGAACCTGGGATAGCCGGGTTTGTTTTGCATCATTGAGGTACCAAAGCACTTGACTATTGCACCATCGATGCACTTTACTTACAGACTCAATATTGACATCCCTTCAATTACGCTACACCACTGCCAACAAAATATAAAGTTCACAAGACATGACACTCACCTAGCTCGTCGTGTATTCGCTGGTATAATGGTAGCATAAAGTGGCATTGCATCATCCAGCAGTTTCGTTGACTTTTGATCATCTTTATGAATTGTCGCTACACAAACACTTGATGAATTTTGCTCCATCTTTTATGCTTATTCATGAAAAAATAATTTTTTTTTGATGTTGATTTCGTTACTTTTTCACATAAAGGAAGACGCTAGCGATTCATGCAATACTAATTGCTTTTTGACTTCTTTTCTTATTGCCAACAATTGTGAATTATGACTAACGATGAAATATTTCTGTTAACAATAACATCAGACTGTCTTCTTCACTATAAGTCAGTCGTTGTCGATTGTCACTCACTTTTCTCGTCTATCTGTAATGAAAAGAATAGATACAAGGTTAAAATATGCTATACGTGCTTAATTTCAATTGTTATAATGCGAATTATTATTATTCTGCTTATAAATTTGCTCATGAAATGGAATGTTTTGGGCGCAAATATTGTAAAGTAGATGAGGTGTGGATGTGGGTCAGAATGGGGTTGTCTAAAATAGGGTAAAAAGGCTAGTGAGGCAAGCGACTACCGACGCTATCGACACTTGTCATTAATAACAAAGGCCGATACTGATTCTCTGTATTGAGATTCGAACACATGATTTCTGAGTCTATGTTGAAATCTTCTATTCCTGAGGCTTTAGACTACTTAACCATCAGGCTCTTATGAACATACTTAATTTAATGACTAACATTACTACAAGAGTCCCCAATTTCAACTCAAATGCGCTCCATACCCATCAAAAAATCAATCAAAATCGAATACAACATTTTTTTCACTCCCCAATCCTACAATGCATTCATTAAAAGTGATTAGCTGCATGCTTGTTATAAAAGAATTGAAACATATTAAGTGTTGTGGTGCGATTTAATGCTTTCATGAAAATTTACGACGAGAGCTTTTTTTTATTCCATTTTAGTGCTCCTTTGCCCTTGCTGAATATGCATATGAAGCTGTGTATCCGAGAATATTAATAACAAATAAAGTGGATTTTTATGCACACATAATATGAGAAATATTCATTCATAAACTATCCAAAAATGTTATGATTCTGCCATATAACCCTGCCTGCTTATGGATTTCATACATTTTTTTTTATAGTAGAAATAAAATAGCGAAAGAAGTTTAATAAAACTTTTCAAAAAACATTCTTGAACTTTTCTTCCCTTTATGGATGAAGTTTCCTTATTAAGTTATGAGTTGAAGATGGCTGCAGTTTGTCGGTGGTTTGGAATATTTGATTTGAGAAAATTTGGAGAAGCAATTTCGGTTGGTTGGAATTGATGCTGTTGTGAAAGAGGCGTCAAAATCGAAAAATCTGTCTTCAATTGGATTCTTAAGAACCTACATCAATTGGTGAGAGATTTTTTCGGTAAAGGCAACTACATCGATGCCCAAAAAGTGTGTTATGAATTTAAGTGCCTTGTTCAAGTGTAGAGAAACTCACTTAATCAAAAAGAACCTTATTTGGCCTTGGAAAGTCTTATTTGGCCTTAATCAGACTTATTTGGCCTTAGACAGCTTTAGTTGGCTTTAAACAGCCTTATCTGAGGCTAGAAGTCATCGTTAAAGACCTGAAGGCCATATTTGAACCTATTAAGCTCCTTATAACCCTAAAAATCTCCAAATGACCTTGATTGAATGCTCTAAGTACCTATAAACTGCGCTAAGGGCCTCAAAAATGAATCCACAACTAATCAAACTTCCGGCCTTACTCATTTCTTATTTCGTTCTTTTTATATAAAGAATTTCTTATGCATTTATGTATTCAAAGGAAGGAACGAATATAAGAGGAAATGCAAATAAATGAATCTTATTAAAAATTGAAATTCCCTTCTTCTTCGTCATGTTCCTATGCATGTACATATCTCTCACACAGAGTAAAAGAAGGCTGACCATTTGATTTATATTGAAATAGATTGAGGTATCATGGGCTTAGCAGAAGTTGTGTTTTGTAGACCAAATTCGAAAAATGACTTTTAAAATATTATTGTCCTTCTTACAAGTTCTCAGATAGCTATCCTAAGCATGGGAAAAAGGAACGAGCTTGTCGAGAAATAAAAACTCATAAAAGTTAATAATGATGCTTAAGCAGTTTGTATGTTATGGATATTTGGCATAATTTTGATAATGTAGATGAAACATAACTACAAATAGAAGAAGGAGGGATAGGTGGGGGGGGGGGCGGCTTGCTTGAATTAAGACAAAAAGATGATTATCAACATTTTTTCTCTCAAAAGTTCTACGACAATGTTAAACTTATGGACGGTGTGGAAAGTTGGGGAGGAGGGCAGATGCACTTTTGTAGACCTTTTTGGCTAGATTCATCAAAAATCGCTATTAAATGAGGCTAAGATCCTCAAAATAACATCACAAAACATCCAAATGACCCCCTTCATCTTATAGTGACGAAAAAAATCCGAAAAACTATCATTTTGCTCTCATCATGTACAGGAAGAGGAACAACATATGCCCAGTGAAGAAATTGAAACGAGAAATTATGAATTTTATGAGACATAATTTTTTGATGACTTGAGTGAATTTTTAAAATTTATTTTAAATTTTTATGCTAATTCACAAGTCATTGTTTGACTTTAAATTGTCATGGGAAATTGTTATATCCTCATTTCTGCTGTTTGTTAGAACATAAAAAAAATATATGCGACGAAGAAAGTTCAAGGAAAAAATTTCACTAAAAAGAATGATTTTCGCTTCTAGCATTTTTCTTCTTCCTGCTTTATTTTTGCATCTTAAAAATTGCCTTCATATATTTTCGAGCTGAAAAAAAAAGTCCATTAAATATTCAGTTCCTCGATGCTCTTTTCATTCGTTCCTTTTTAAAGGTAAAAATGACTAAGGAGTTCGCGAAAAAAAAAGATATAAAAATTGGTTAATGGATGAAACTGATGCAGCATAAAAAATGCAAATGCAAAATGTTCCAACTGCCCTGCTTAATGCAATAATTTTGGAACTCCCCGGAAAAGAAATCTTCTTTTTTTTATTCGTGAACCAAAAATTAATTTTTTCGGCACTGACTGGCCTGACCTTAAAGTCATGAACTTTATGGAATTTATCATCATGATCATAAATGTAATTAGCCTGCTTTTATATTGAAACAAATATATGTATGACCTTACCTTACAGTTCTTTTATTATTATTTTTTTGTGAGAGAGAAAATGAGAATTTTTATGAGAAAGTTTGAAAAGAATATTCAAGTGGAAGTAAGCAAAAAAAAAACAAGCATCATTTTTTTAATGAACACCTTTAGAGTCCAAATTTTGGTATTGTTTAGGATTCGAACCGTTAAATTTTTTATTTAAATACAATTTTACATAATTTTGGTTTAATATTCATGATAAATCTAGCTAAAAAACGTTCATGTTGTTCAAGTACAGAAAACAGACATTTTTGACTCAAGCTCCTTTAAACTCGACACATAAAGTCACCCAGACAATTTCTCATTATCATCATCATAACCTTAACATTGAAAATATTTTTGCACAAACCAAATGAAATAAAATCTCATGTGATACATTTTTTCACCTTTACCTTAACCACGACCTTAACCACATGAAATTCAAGTCATAAATTGATGAAATTTATTCTCGATATATTTTTTTATTATCACACTTTTTTTTTATTTTCGGGTAGATTTCACTTTGGTTATTGATTTTGTATTGATAGTTTGGGTAAGAAGGGACGTGGGGGGGAGGAGGAAGGGTAATTGTTAAAAAAATATAAAATAAAAGAAATAAAGTTCAAAAAAGTTTTAATAAAGTAAATTTTTTAGCGCATTTTTGAAAATTGTTTCTAAGAGGTAGCTTAATATCTCACTATGTCTGTTCGTTCGGGCGGAGAAAAACTTTTTAACTAGACATCGTAGAGAGTTCTAGTTTGTTTTATTAGCTCAGATCCATTGTTTTATTTTCGGGAAACACATTTAAAAGTCTTGAAACAGTGTTTTTGTACTAAAATTAATTATTTTTATATTTCATGTGAAAAAACATGTGACGAAAGCGTTTAGAAATTCGAATTTATTTCTACCGTTGAAAAATTTTGAATCTCAAAAACCGTTAAATTACCAAGCCTTTTTATATGAAAATTATTTTTGAAACAGACTGTTATTTATACTATAAGTAATGCTTTTACTGTAATTTTTGGCAAGATACTTTCAAATGCATACGACCGTTACAAAATTTGAACTTCAGAAAACCGTTAAATGATAACTTTTTATATATGGAAATTCATTGGAACAAATTATTAATTATACTATACTTATTGTTTTTGAAGTGCAACTTTTAGCGGGAAAATTTCAAATTATTTTTTGACCGTTAAATAACAAAGCCTTTCTATATAAGCATTCATTGTAATTATTTGCTAATTGCACTAAAATTAATGATCTTCTAATGATCTGTAAATGAACGAAAAATAAAGAGATAATCAAATACTGATCGCTAACACAAAAATGCGCTTAAGTTCCTCGATCAATAACACGAGGACTTCTGTAATTTTTTAATTTAAAAATTCAAAATTGGAATTAAAAAAAGTTTCAAAAAATTAAGATTAAAAAAAATAATAGCAAAATCTTTATTTCTCTTTTAAGCAAATCAACAGAAATTGAACCCATTTTGATCAAAAACTCTCTAGTTTTGACACTTAAGATATAAAAAGAAATTCGACCAAAATCCAATATTAAAGTTAAGTTTAAATTAAAAAAAATCCCAAAAAAATTCACACAATTTTTTCTCTTTAAAATTTCAAAATTCTTCAATTTTTACGGATCGATGAATTTTTAAATTCCAAAAAACTGTGGGAAAATTAATCACAAAATTCCTCAGTTCCCATGTTGAACACCAAATGTCCATAAAGTTGACAATTTAAATAACAAGAATTTATGAACAAATTTAAATAATACGAAACAAAAAAAGAGTTCACACACATACTTAATATTCATACGTCTGGATATCTAGATAATTTTTTTGGGTCAAAATAACCCCCTTCGGATATAAAATACCGATATATGCCTACCCGAATAAAGGTCAAAATAATAGAACAAATGTTATTTCTTTATGCTGTACAAAATTAATATATGCGATTTCATTCCTTCATTCTCGCCCTTCCTTTAGTCTCGTACAACAGCAGTCGAAAAGAAAAGAATAAAAATATTGTACGAAAATAAAAAGCCGGTCACGCGTTCAACATCTCGAGAAGAATAATTGGAATAATTGCTTCATTACATGCGTCAACAGCATGAAAATATGGCAAAGTCTTCCTTCTTCTATGTGTATATATACTTTTTGGTGTATTACTGACATTA